GAGAATTGTTGCCAGCATAAAAAGGAGACCTAGAGAGGAAAAAAAAAGTGTTGTAGGTTCTCCTAAGTGGTGGTGTTGTCTGAAGATGTTGATTCTCCTGAAGGAGCTTGTCATACTGGCTTCCCTGATATGAACCTGGCTGTTATCAGGAACTTGGGACCTTGTTGCTGAGAATAGCTGTGGTTCACTTTGGGGGAGCTCTGGTCTTTAATTTGAGCATTGTTCCTGATTCTGGAGGGGAAGATGTGTGCTGTTCAATCTCCAATAGAAGCTAGTCACACTGGGTTCCTGATATGAACTTGGCTTTTTTCAATGTCAGAGGAGCTCAGGACCACATTGTTGCTGAAGATGGCTGTCGTACTTTTTGGGGGAGCCCTGGCCCTTATTTTGAACATCACTTCTTGACTCCAGGGCAGAATCCTCATCCTACTGGCACAGATCCTTCACCCCACTGGCATGGACGTTGTAGCTTCCACTGCTGACTTTTTGCCCTCCCCACTGCAGATCTGTGAAGCAGAATTGCGTGAGTCAATGTTATGGGTTCTAGGCCTCCAGGGGGACTCATTGAGGGCATTGTCATGGGTTCTTGGTTTTCAGCTGAACTCATGCAGGTTATTTCTATGGGATCCAAGGCCTTGGCTAAATTCTCTACGTTTTTAGTGTGTGGACAGATTTCCTGCATTTTCTTTGTATTTGACTCCTTGGTTGACCATTATAAATAATACTATAAATTATGTGCCTATGTTGTATTGTCATATTCTTCAAACCCCTGACAAGAACACCGTCCAAGTTATAACAGATTATCAGGGAATAAATGGAGCCTCATGATAACAAGGGATTTTACTTCAGTGCGACTTAATAGAATATTCGCTCCTGATTCCCTTACTTGTGACTTGGAAATTTCTCTGGCTACTCTGAGAAATCAGCTGTCTTATGAACGAGTCACATAAAATAATCTAATCAGCCCCCAAATCCATTAATGTGTTGCTGCCCATAACTGCTGTATGTGTAGTACTCTAGGGCATATTTGGGTTACGAGGGCTGCTTTCTTCCTGGTGGACTTGGTGTGTTGCTGGCACTGCCTCCTTTCTTGTTCTCAGCTTGCTCACTACTATCCCATTTTTCTCAACACAGCAGCCACCCGACTGTCAAACTGTGTTATTTTTCTGTTAAGATGCTCTCAATTTTCATATCCCACACCGAGTAAAGGTCACCTAGAATGATGAATATGCCTACTGTACAAATCAAACTTTAAGATCCATGTGAACCACCTTTAGATCTTGTTAAAATGAGATTCACATTCACAAGGGCTGAGGCGAGGGCCTAGGAGCCAATATCTCTGAAGAGCACTCAGGTAACGCTGGTGCTACTACTTCTTAGGGCTGCGCTTTGTGGAGCAAGTTCCTGTGTATGTTGCCTCTCTTTTCCCTTCTAGCCCATAACCATCTCATCTTGTTACATTATCCCTGACATCTGGAAGGTCTATACTGCCCTCCTTCACACTGTTGGGCCATCCTGGCTTGTGCCCACTTAGAATCTTTGCCTGCCTGAACCTCTGTCCACCAATTGAACACACTTTGCTCAAACATACAGCACCTTCCCCAGCCACATGCACTCCTGGCTCATTCAAATGTCACAATCTTGGGTTGGAAAGCTTCCCTGGCCACCTAATCTAATAAAGCAGATAACTCTGTTCCTCCATATCCCCTCCCTCCCCTCACTTCCTCTTTTGCTTTTCTTATCACTTCTCATTTGTGATTGTACAGTATGGTTTATTCTACCTTGCTTATCTCTGCTATTTCTGCTAAAAGGTAAACCCTTTGAAGGCATTTGTTTTCATTTCTGTTCATCCCTGTAACTAATGCCTGATACATAGAAGGCGCTTGATCAATGACTAAAACACATTTACTTGCATTTTTAAGATCATACTTTTTCTACTCACGCAAAAAGTGCTACGAAGAACAAAGACAGAGACTGATTTGTTCCAGTCTAATTAGAATATGTTGGTACAAGTGACTGTCTTGAAAGAACAGTACGTCAGAACTCATCTATGTAATGCTCACTTACACAGGTTTCTTTGGCACAAGCAGAACAAAGATGTTAGAAGAGATCAAGATCCACCTTTAAGTAAGAGAAACTTAATGAGACTAGTGGCCCAATTAAGAAGCAGGCTGAGGCATTAATGAGATCCATTTAAGTTATAGATTGTGAAGGTTGTTTTTCATAGTGATGCAGCTTTCCTGGGAGGCAGTTACTGTCTAAGATACTACAGCAAAAGGTCAGGCTTTTATGGAATGCTGGCTTGAAGACGTCTGAGATCTTTTCTGGCAGCACAAATTAGAAATCGATGACAGAGATCAAGAAGCAGCTATGTGAGATGCGTAAGACCAATTGCTGAAAGAAGAATTCATGACTATACATTATGTGTTGTAGTAGTTTTTGATTTCATGAAATTTCAGTAAGTTTTAGCAGTGAGGAGTTTATTATTTGTTTTTTGGTTTTTATTTTTAATAGAAACTTGTCAAGACTTTGCAAGCTGAACTGAAATACATTTCCTTATTATTACCTACTTTTGGCCCAAACAATTGTCAGCTGTCTAGGCTAAAGAAATGTGTACTACTGACAAATTTGAGTTAGGTATGTTCTGTAATGAAATTATAAAGATATTCTCCTCCAGACTTCTAGGAAATCAGAAAACAGAATAAAGAAGTACAAGAGTAGTTGAGGGTTCCATTTTTTAGTTTTAAACTTGTTTTCCCTCCTAATTAGCAAAGTATCAAGGGATAGAAATTGTTCTCTACTTCTTTTATAGCATTTTTTCTTTTATAGCATCATAATTTATAGTGAACAGTAGAAAATATCAATGAATAAGCTTTGGTTACACATTCCTCAGTACACATTTTCCCACGTAATCTTCCAGACCATCTTTTGCAAGAAGGGTTTACTGCTTTACTCCCATGATGTATTGATACTTTACATATATTATGTCATTTAATCTTGACGAAAGCAGTATGAAGTAGGAATCTGTATCATTATGGTGAAACTCCAAGTGTGTAGAGATTCTAAGTAACTAGCCTTGCTTACAAATGTATTTTTAATGGGCTGGACTCAAAACCAGGTTGATGTGCCTGAGAAGCTCACAGTTTTAATTTCCACATTGGCATCATTTCACCATGAGAAAAATGAGACAGACAAGAGCCAACCAACTGGTACACTGTCTTTTTAATTCTTACAGTGACACCCATCTTAAAATTTCATAGCTTTCATTACAATTTAAATCATGTTTGTTTATTCACACTTTATTTTCCTTTTGTCTTCCTCTCAAACTTTATTTCCTGAATGCAATGACCATTACTCCGCTACTAAGTGTATTTCTAGCTTTTAGATCTGTGTCTAGGACATGACTGGTACTTAACAAATGTTTAATGAATATTAAACATTTATATATAATGATAATGTATGTTTGTTTAAAAAATATTTTACTTATAATACATGTGTTTGGTGAAAGAAAAGAAAATGAACTTTCTCTGGGATGATGCTCCATAAAAGAGATGATTAGACCTATGATACTTTGGCTTCTAAACTGAAACAGAAATATGAACTACAAATTTCTGTTTATAGTAATTCTCAGGGAAAAATTATTTCAACATATGCAATATAAAGGGGCAGGGACTTAACTCCAAACCATTTTGTATTCTCAGTCTGGGGCTCCAATTCATTCACCTCCTATGAATACCACACAAACCCTAAAATGTTCACCGTCTTTACTGTCCAGCAACATGCACCCATCCATCCCACCCTCTACTCCATTGAGAGTGCCAACCATCTGCTCATGATAAAATGAGGAGACATTTTAGGATCAATTCCTGGGCCTAGGAAACTGGGAATCTCATAATGAAAGCAAGGAGTTAGAAGCCATTGCTAATACTCCAAGAGCATTCACTTCCTGAAAGGTATCATTAAAACTCAGAGGGAGAGATGTTTATGTCAACAGCACTAGTTCTAAAAATAATGATATCAATGTGCTGACTGCAAGAATTATCTGACCTTTAAGGGCATAATAATAATAATAATAATAATAACTGTACAAATTAAGGGCATTCTATAGAGAGGCAGGAAATAATGTTAGTGTCACTAGCAAAAATAATTTAACAGTCAAAATGTAATGTTGTATCATCTTTTTGAGAAGAGAACTCAGATTTGAGGTTCAGATTATTCTGATTTGGAAGGTCACAGAGAACAAGCATACAGCATCATAGCTGCTATCATCAACCTTTCATTCATTCTTTCTATCATGATTTACTGACTGCTAACCACAATGATTTTCACTAGGCTAGCCACTGGAGGAAACTTTAAGCAAAAATCAGATATTCGCTTAGAGAGCTTGATAGGACCTCAACTGCTTCTGCATACATGTAAGTAAACTACCTAGAGTGAGAGACAGCTTTGTTTTTCTCAAAAGGGAAAAAGCTTGTCTAAACCTTTTGTAGTCACTGCTAAAGATGTGGATAAATATTTTCACATTTGGAAATAGACATTATTTATTGAGAAGATTAACTTTTACTTCCACATGACTTCACATAATTGCAAATAAAAACCAAGTTTTAATCTAAAAACCAATGTGTTGTACAAAATACCCTGAGTCATTTAAAAGAGGTGGATGACCTGAGTGATATTTGGGAGGGAATCATAAAAACATTTTTAGCCCTCGTGTAGGGTGTACGTAAGTCTCTAATCCTTTTCTAAACAGAATGCCAGTGCATGTATGTTAGTTTTGGAAATCCACAAGAGACTGCTCTAATAGACACCATGCAGGACTCTACATTTCCTCTCCTGGTGTTCTGAGTTGCCTCAAACACTTTTGTTAATCAACAAGACGTATAATTTTACTGCAAATCCTACCTCAGAGTTACAGGAAACAAAAACTAGATCTGGACTTAGCAATTCCAACATGGAAGACGTGGCAGAGACAACCACTCGCGAGACGCCATGGACTGTACCTTCTGAATGCCTGCTTGCGACTCCACCACGTTGTTTTCGGACCCGTTGCTTCGGTTGATCATTCGCCACATTTGGGAATACATGCTGTCCCTCTCGAAAGGGTTGAGTCCCTTCATGCGGACATGCTCGTACACCGCCGAGTCCAGGACCGTGCCGTAAGGGATGTCTGTCTGCTTGGAGAGGTCCTGGAGGGACCTTGATTTGGGAAGGAAAGAAGAGATGCACAGGTGAGCGCTCTGGGTATCTTGAAATGGAAAATAAATTTAAAGCAAGAAAAGGGCAGCATATATGAAGATAGATATTAAAGTGCCTTTTTCGTGTTTTTTAACATTAACATGTAATGTCATCATTAAAAGGAAATATGAAAAATTTTAGTGGTAATGCAATGATTTTGGGGGGGGGTAATTTTTGCTGAGAGAAATAGTGATATTCAGTGTGAAAACAGGGTATATCAAATTAGAATTGATTGCAATTAGGATATTTAATAGTTTAACTTTAATTTGTAATAAGCATTGGGCCTATGTTCCTCTATGTGCAAGGGTTTGATGTATTTATAAAATAATTATGGCTTTACAAAAGCAGCATATTTTTAAGTGAAATTTATGCTTAAAAATTGGTATTTGTAAAAAAAATTTGTGTTTGTGCTCATTATTTATTGAGTAGTTACTGCATATGAGATCAGCGATTGATGTCTATTATCCCTGTAGTGATTCCACACATTCAAAGTGTTCTAGGTGAGGAAACGAGCAGGAGGAATAAATGACTCGGTTAGGGTGAAGCAGTTAGTGATGGTTAGAACTAGCACTAAACTGCCCGAAAGGCCACAAATCGCTAACTCTTATTTCTATATTTCTTTGGCTACATTGGCCTAAAGGTTTTATTTGTGTTTGTATTGTGTTTCTGGTTTTGTGTTTGTGAGAGTGAGAAGGAGAGAGAGACACAGAGACAGAGACAGAGACAGAGAGACAGAGACAAGAGACAGAGACAGAAACAGAGAGGAGAGGATAAATTTGTCCTGTTTGAAGCTGAATGTATTTTCAGTTTTTTCCTTTTTCAGGCTAGTGTGACAGGCCTTTTAAATAAATTTTTGAGTTAGAGAGGACATCTGTCTATCCTAGATTACCCATCTCTTGATTGTTAGATTGTTTCCTTTGAGTTTCTGAGCCACTACTGTAGAATTTCTAGCTTGAAGAGCCATATATGGGTCCACTGAGATCATTGAATTTGTATAGGTACCCAACCCTAGTGACTGACATGCAAGAACAGATACGGTCTTGACATACTGTTCAAAACTGGAGATCTACGTGCTTCAAGCTCACTAACTTCTGGGAATGGGAACAGGTGCTTTGAAACACTATACCATTTTTGAATAAGAATAAATACCCAGGACATTCCACAACCGTGGCCATAAATCTCATGTAATATATACCTCTGACCTTTTGGTCTGTTCTAGATGGAGTGAACTAATGATTTCCTGAGGTCTTTAAAACTAAGACTAGCATTAAGTAGAGGTATTGGGAACATTCTTACAGTTTACCAGCCTCCATCATGTGCAAAATTGTGTTATAAGCAATAAATTACAATCCCTGTCAGTTGAGTATTTCCAGCAATTTCTAACCGCAATTTTCAGTAAAGTTTAATTTGTACTTTATTGAGTTTTGCTGTTGATGTATAGCATTTATTCCTTTGAAACTACCATGATAACATGTTTTTATTCTATATGTCTTTCCATATAGAGTACACTTAAAAATATTATCTGATGAGAAGAATTTTCTGGAGTATTCTGGAACTATTGAATTAATCTCACCATTTTTAAAGGATAAACCAAAGTGACAGTGTAAATAAGTAACTGAGGGTGAAAATGGGATTTTAAAAAGTAACCACATGTAGCTATATTACAACCTAATGCCAGAGTCACACGTCATCTACACTGGGACATGGCATAATTACCTTGGTAATATAACATAAGAATTTTGTTACAAAGAGCAATTTTGTTGCTGGTGGTAGGCCTACAATTGTATTGAAAATAGTAACATTTTAAACATTTTTTCCATGGTACAAGAGATGATCAAAATATAGTGTTTTTTTTAAATTACAGTGAGAGTCACATTATCATCAATTCCTTTCAAAAATACTGTTCCTCACTTTGAACAAACTTATCCCACTGTTCTTGTCACTTTCTGAAGCAGTTTTGAGAGTTTTCTTTTTGTGTTTTCACAAGTTGTGATTAAAAAAAAATTGCAGTGATTGCTGCTACCAAGTCCTATCCAACAGAAAAAAGGTCATAAGAATATGACAAAAGGTCCTCATCCACCTTATTCCCTGAATCTGGTGCCAGATTTCTGGCTCTTCCTCAAAGCCAACATGACCATAAAGGTATATGTTTCGAATCAGTTTAGGATATGAGACAATCAGGATAGCACAACTAAAGACACTCATTAAAAAATGCTTTCATAAATCAGACTTGCAAATTTAAATATTACCTATTTTCTCTCAATTGAGAAGCCCAAAATATAAATAAAGGACCAGATCAAATTCAAATAGTAGGAAGTAGAGAGACAAATGTTTTGCATAAAGGAAAGGGAACCAAAAGACAGAAGGAGTGGGAAGGGTCAGGAAGGAAATGAGATTTAAAATAAATCAAGGTGTGCCGTCTGCACGCACCAACTGCCTATGATGAATTCAGTCCCGATGCACTGCAAACATGTATTAATAAAAAGCTGATTTTAAAAAGACTTTCAGAACTGCTTCAGAAAGTGCCAAGAATGGTAGCACATGTTCAATGTGAGGGGAAGTACTTTGAGGGGCATTAAAAGCACTGTGTGTTTCACTGTAATACATTAAAAAAAAAAAAAAACATGCACTGTAGTTTTTTAAATCACATTTTGTATAATTACTGATATCTAAAATAGTAACATTGGCAGGGGAAATAAAGCATACTGTACAGGTTATAAAAGCAGGCCTAGGCCAGGGGTTTAGCTCAGTGGTGTAAGTGCCTGTTTGGAAAACACGAAGTTGTGAGTTCAATCCCCGTACCCCGAAAAAGAGAGGGAGGGAGGGAGGGAGGGAGGGAGAGAGAGAGAGATAGAGAGAGAGAGAGAGAGAGAGAGAGAGAGAGAGAGAGAGAGAGAGAGATGCAAAGTAAATCTTTAACATAACATAAAAAATAAAATAAAATAAATAAAAGCAGGCCTCATTCCTTCTGCCTGCACAGATACCAGGCTCCACGGCAGGCAGCAAACAATATACCTACAGCTGGACGGTGCCAGGCAGGGCAGGGCAGGGAGGCCCACACTGCTATTGACCGCAAACCTCCCTGTGCACACTTGGCTGCCCGCCTATGGGTAGTTCTGGGAGTCAGCCTTGATTGTAACTGTCAGGAGGCTTCAGTTGGGTACAGATGAGATCATTGTATATGGTGAAATTTTTTGTGCTTACTTCTAAATACATAGTTGGTTTGCCTCAAATAGTCATGCCAGAAAATACTGTTCACAACTTAGTGGCTCTCTCTGAGCCTTCATGGGAAGAAAACTGAAATAAAATGTTGGGATCTTTATTATAATGATATTCTGTGGCGTAGCTTCATCTGGAACAGGAATCTTACAACCTGAATATAGAGTTACACTATGAACTGTTTGGTTTGGTGATACTGTTTTGTACACAGTAAATTTTTAAAGGAGTATCTTAATACATTGCCTATGTGAAGCACTTGGTGTCAGAAAAAAAGCCAGTTTGTTTTCAACATGCTTCAAATTTAGAATAGCAGAGCATTTTGTAATTTAGAACAAAGGCATGCTCCCTCTAGTAGTTTCTGATATCAAGTTTAGCGTATAAATTTGCCTTGAAACATGCCTGCAATAAAAATTACAGCTTGTCTGATTCTGTGTCATTCCATTACAGCACACAAAGATAGCACGGAAGGTGACAAAATAAAAGGACTGAAGCAAAATGAAACGAGCACAGAAAGCTTATTATAGAGAAAGAAGGCTGCCTCTGGAGCCCAGCACAGAAAGGGAGCGCCAATTCTCAGTGGTCATTTTGGGTTTTCTCATGCTAATGAGATTTTAGAGCAAGAACAGGAGAAGTGCTATGGTCTATATTATGAATCCCTTAAAGGAACGTAGTTGGTTATCCTATAAACTGTAATCTTCAGAAAATTGCATCTGAAGGTCAAAGATGAGTGGATGTTACTTAGACATGACCATTTTTAAAAAACTGCAACAACTATTCTGGAATCACTCATAAGCATTTAGCATATACATTATTTTCACCTGCAAAAATAGACATTTCTTTGTTTAAAATAGGCAACCTATTTTCCGGCAACAGAAGGAAGAAATATGGGACATTTTAAAGTAGAGTTAATCTGTGAATACACTTGGATTAATGTACTTCATTTTTCTTGCTAACCACCTAACCCACACATACTCAGATGAAACTCAGAGAATCATCATTTGGTGACTTTATTAGACCTGACCCAACCCCAAGCCCACACACTCACTCTTCACACAGAGTCAAAATCAAAGGTCTAGAGCCACAGTTGGTAAATAATAAAGCAAATGCTTTGCTATTCCAATCAGTCTTGTTTTTCCAACATCCCACTGAAGTTCTTTTTATTCTCCCACTGGTTTCCTGTCAAGCTAACATCAAACATTGAATACTAAAACAATACCAAGAGAGGACAGGTATGTTTTATTTGGTATTGACGTGAGCATTGTAAACAGAAAATGCAAATTAGGACAGTGCTACAAGAATAAATTTTAGGAACTTACGGAAACTTAGACTGATTTTGAGCTCCATGAGAAGAATAAACACTTTAAGGCACTTTACATTATATTTGATATATGTGATAACCTGATTTAGGTATAACAACTACAGTTAATTTGAATTTGGTTAAGTTATTTCCATTTTATTTTATTTATGGCATGAGTGATTGGACTCAGAGAACACTAAGCTATAACCTCGACCTTTTTTGTTTTTTAATTTTAGATAGTGTCTTGTCAAGTAGCCCAGAGTGACTTCAAGCTTGTGATCTTCCTGCCTCAGCCTTCTGAGTAACTGTTGTTAGAGGTATAAGCCATCATATCTGGCTTTAGGTTCAACATGCATGTCAGGCTTATTTGTTATTGTGAGCTGGTAAACCACTGGCTCTGGCTGACTACCACTGATCCTGATATGGCTCTGGAGAGAGAGAAATT